CTTTCCATTTGAGGGAATACTTGTGGGAATACATTTATAATCTCTGTTCAGCTCTACATACTGATGTTAAGCACTGGGTATTTTGACTTCAGACACCTTGCTATTTCTAGAACAACTATGCAGTAGAAAGGTCAATGAGAGGATTATTATGGAGAGATCTTTTCAGTCTAATGCACACTAATGAAAGCGAGACAAAGAGTGATGGTGGAGACTAACCAATTGTATAGATAGCAAGTTATAGATTCCTCAACTTCATGGAGTATTTGACATGATCAAAGAATTGGAATTTTGCTGAAAATATTTGGAGCAATTTGTGGAGCACTGGGATGTGTACAATATTCATAGCCACCTTCAGCAATTAGAGACAATGTGGAAGTCTTCTCCAGCAGAAGTGTTATTTCTTGCTTCAATTAGGGCAAGATCCACTCAGATTTGAAAGATGCAGGCTAGAATTAGAGGATCAGTTTTAGCTAGTGCAAATAATCTCATAGGCACACCTGGTGCATCAAAGAAAAACACACATCTTTTAAGCAGAAAGAATATTGGTAATGCTACTGCGGAGAGCCTGGGCAAACTCAAAGAGGTGTGTTTCTGAATGAAGGTTGTAACACAGTGGCCATAAATCTAACCAGGGGATAGGAGGGAAGTCACCCCTCGGTGCCTATCACGTGGTTGGGAATACTTCTTCTAGCTCCCAAGGTGAAGGGGAATTCCTGCTTCAGTACCCCTTCCCTGCTCAGATTCAGTGCTGTGTATGACTGAAGTGATGGAATAATTATCCGAATTATAACGTTGATAAAGCTGAATGTTACTCATGCTGTGTGAAAAGAACTTAATGAGGTTGTAAAAGCACTCAGAAGTAACAAAAGCTTTGCCTGTGTAACCTTAATTCAGATTTCTTGTGCACATATTCAGGCAATCGTACTTAGATCAACAGCATCCCCCGATCTCTAGAGTCTTTATTTTATATAATGTGTAGATTGAGGATGTTCAGTTTTAAAGCAGTTATTCATCATTTTGTGCATTCCTTGTTATGTATCATGTGTGGCCCCCTATTTTATTTATCATATGCCATTTGAACATTTTTCTAAAGAGAAAGGGGCTTTTTAGTGCCTGAGTATCCACAGTTATCAGAGACTGTGTTTTCAAACTCATTTGTGCATGTATTGTGTCTATTTTACAGATGGAAAGCTGAGGTACAGCAATAGTAAGGCCAAAAATAGCTGCTGGTTTTTGACTTGCAGTTTGAGTTGCTGGTAATCTAAATTTTAAGATACCCCTGCAGCAAACTGTACATTCAAAGCACACATTTGCATGCATTACATCTTTGCAAGTCGGATTCTAAGCACTAAAGAAAATTAGAAGTCCTTTATTGGTGTCCAGCTTGCTAAAAATGTTGGTTAAAGCAGTCACCTAATACCTTGCAGCTTGCAGTGAGTCTGGTACACCAGGGGCTTCAATCATACTTCGCATAGTCCCTTTTGTTACAAAAGTCTTTCAACTTCTTTGGAAAACGACAGAAAGCAGCTTGCTTTAATGCAAAATTCGGATTCATCCCTAGAGCAGACCTCTTATAAGCACTAAATTAATGAAGAATTTCTACAGGAAAAATAGTATGTGGCTGTGTTATCGAAAACTATGTTGTTACGTACATTCACAATGAGAGCAGTGACTGCTGGGCTGCTTGATGGCTTTCATTTGCTGATTTGAACCCAGAACTAGGCAGCACACAGCCAGCTGAGCTGAGTGAGCTGTGTAGGGTAGGGAGGAACTTTTGACCAGTTAGCTGAAAAAAATCTCTGTCAGGCGTATGCAAACAAACGATTTTGAAGAGATTTTTTAATTATCCGGGTTTGAGATAATTTCTCTTAGAAACAGCAAAATGCATATCCTTAATGTGAAGGTTATGGTGTGCTGAATTTCAAGGTTCTTCTCCAGTTCCTCTTGGGATCCAGGGGCTTCTCAAAGAAAAGGTTGCCAGAACTTGTCAAAACAAGGCATTTTTCTTTTAGCCTCAGTCTCCCAGATAGCTGAACTGCATTTGCTGACATTTTCTTTTAAAGAAATGAACCTGAGATTGACACCCAGTGAGAAAAAAAAACCAACAGATTTCCCAAAGTTATAGGTAGCTAAAATGTAATTTTAGACAAGGAAGTGATGTCGGGCATAAATAAGCAGCGGTATTAACCTCACCTGTCATAAACTCTGTAGGATGCATGAAAAAGAGAAAAGTAAATGAAAGATAAAATGAAAATTAAAAATGAATCTTAGCCAGTGTATTAAAAGCCTGTATTAAATCCCTTAGGTATAGTTTGACAATGAATATTGCTTTGATGATGGGTAGGAGGATAAAGAACAAAAATTACAGTGAGAATTTGCTGCAGACTCCCAAGAATGGGTTTTCAATCTCAAGGTGATGCACATCTAATTTTTCCAGATTTGTTTGTCATACATTTGCTAGTTTAAAAGAGAATTTAAGATAAATCATCAAGATTTTTTTCCAAATCATAAATAAGGCATGACCCAAAAATTATATTAATTCATCTGATGGCAACTATACTGTCTAGACATGGGGAAAGAGGGCTGAAAAGGTGGAAACTAAGTATTGAGAGATAAAAGGTTTAGCCACAGAACAAGTTAAAACAACTCTGGACAATGCACTAAAATAAGCACAGAACAATGATATTCTTTGCCAAAAGGATGGCTGATATGGTCTGTTTTGTTAGAGTTCTCCATTTTTACTATGTATTTTCAAAAGTTTGTTGAAAGCATTGTTTCAGGTAGGTATCAGCTTCTCTAATAGTCCCTAGAAAAATGCCATACAGGAAAGAAAGAGGTTTGAGATATTATTGTTTTTTACAGGCATACTGAATATTAGCAGAAATTTGGGGTTATGAAAGTCCCCAAATTTAGAATACATCTTGAGCATCAATCATAAGGGAAAAAAAATCCAGACAAGTATAGTGATGACTCTGAAAGGTCAGTAGTGGAGGTGTCAAAATAATCTTTTATATATCTTACAAGATGACCATGAGTGTTCCCAGAACCCACTAATAATCCACTGGTGAGTGAGGTGTGATGAGTGTGAAACACCACAGAGAAGCCATAATAGAAAGGAAACGTGATCATAGCAATTTTTCCCTGAAAACTTCAGCTGTAGAGAATATGAATGAGTCAGCTGAACTATTTCAGAATTTAGAAAATGTGAGTCTTCTTACAGAGAAAAATGAGCATGTAACGAAGTACCAAAAATTAAAATAGAATAACACACAAACATAAAGAAACAGAATTAAACATTAATCTAGAGTAGACTCAGAAAACTGATGGTCAAGTATTAATTGACATGAATGTCATACATTGAAAGTTCATGTTGTTTGTGAAAGTACCCAATATATCTCATTTTGGATAGGTTATGATTTTTTTTCCTTTTTTAAAGTAACTTTTAATGAGGGCTTTTTTTTTAATAACTAATCACATTTAATATTATTTCTACTTTTATCCATTTTTACAGTTCTCACTATTAGCACTGTTATACATGGCCTATACGTGTAGTACCTATCGCCAGGATAATGGCTTTTAGCATCAATGAAATTCTGTATCACATTAGCCAGTGAAAAATATAGAAAGTATAAATGACTAGTGCTTCAGAGATGGTTCTTAGATGAATGTTGGCAGCCTATAAAATTATGATATTATTATTGCTTAGATACTAAATTTTATTATTAAATGACTCGTGTGCATATTACCTGGAAATGTAGCAGAAGATGTATTTATTTGTAGTCACTGTACTCAACGGTGGAAAGTGCAGCACTGTAATAAACTCTTTCCCTCTGAAATACGTTTATCTTGTCACTGAGCTGGCTTACTAATGTGATTTTATACCTTTTGCAAAATGAAGGTAGTGCTTGCTGCAGTTGCTATGATACAAGACTAGTGCACTGAACTTTGTTGTGCATCAGCACACATTTCATACTATGCAGTTCACTGTCACTGTTATGACTTTCTAAAGCCTTCCATGAAGAAGTGGACAAGTGAATTTAACATCCCAAAACAACACTTGTAAAATAAGGATTCACATCCATTTTCCTTCTTTGCTCTGAATGACTAGTAGCAATAGTACTGAGCTTTAACCTGGCTGTGCAATTGAACCTCAGATTTTTTTTGTAAAAGGCAGCTCATGACATAGGCTACAGCAAAACAAGGATATGATGTACACTCTCTTGTGTTTTGAACTTTACCAGCCTGAATAAACATGTCACCTAGCTTTGTCTCTCCAGAAGTTATGTGTCTAGAATAGTCTTTACCAACCTTCTCCTCGGTAGGAGAGGAAAAGTCATAAAGAAGAACCTTCAGTGAACAGTTCATCCCACAAACCTGGGACATTTCAAGCCAAGATGAATTACATCCTAGAGAATCCTTCTTTTTACTGGTTAGAGAGGGCACATAGATAGACAGCTTAAATGAGATACCTAACTTTTATATAGCTAAAACTACAGGAGATTAATCCCACTGTAGGTGATAAAGTGAATGTTTTTCAAATTCTATGGCCTGGGAATAATCTGAAACAAGATTAACAGGTGGAGATGCAGCAAAACTGGGAGTATACTGCTGTATATGGCAATAAGCTAAGACTCATAACGTAACACCATGGAGAAGCAATTGTGTAGAGAAAGGTCTGAGAAACACAGATCAACCTCCCTTCCATGCAAAAGGAAGGGTTTTGTGAGAGTAAGTAAATGACATTTCTATAAGAGTAGCCTTTCTTTCATTTGCATCCTCTGCCTAAATCTCCCTGAGCAGAAGAGTTGACAGCCTCTGTTTCCTGATAGTTGTATAACGTGTTCTTTGTCAACTCTGGTGACTGTATTGTCAGGGAATTCTATTTTGATGACATTGCACCCACTAGGCAGAGGCTGAAGACAAGAAA